TAAAACAAATGCTATAGATCCTGTAACTACACTTAGGTAATTACACTTGGGTAATTACTAGGTCACTTGACCTGTAAAGCATCATCGATGGCTATGATAACACTACCAGGAGCCACCAACTTGCGATTGATGCCGTGTCGTCTTGGGCCACCGATCATGGCTTCAGGTTCTCTACATCTAAGACTTGTGCTATGACCTGTACTCGGAAGCATGTCGTTCTTCGTTCCTCTTTGTCACTTTATGGTCTCCCCATTGTGTATAAGGATTCCGCTAAGCTTTTGGGGTTAATCTTTGACACTCGTTTGTCTTGGTCTCCCCATATCTCTTACCTCCGCGTTGAATGCTCTAAGGCCCTTACCCTCCTTCAGGTATTGTTCCATACTTCTTGGGGAGCGGATATGCGCACTCTCCTAGCTTTACATTTCTCTCTCGTCCTGTCTAAACTCGATTATGGTTGCCCTGCTTACTTGTCTGCTTCTCCTACTCTTAACCGTCTTGATGCTTTGCACCATACTGGGTTGCGCCTCAGCTCTGGTGCCTTTCGTTCGACTCCCGCCCTCAGCTTGTATGTTGACACTGGCTTCCTATTTCTGACAGGACTTCCGATATCGCTTCTGTCTTTGCTATCTTGTGCGGTTCTTGCAACATCCTTCTTCTCGCCTCTGTCGTGCTTTAACTTTTACCCCTCCTGTGGTTCCTGTTCCTCGTCACCACCTCCCTCTTTCTGTCCAGTTATCTCGCTTACAGGATTCTCTTTCAGTTTGTATTTCTAATATTTCTCCTCGCGTTGTTCCTTCCTTGCCCCCATGGAGAGTCCCCCTTCAGAAGTTTTGTACATCCTTGACCCGCATCACTAAAGCTTTTATCCCTCCTACGGTTCTGAAATGCTTTTTCCTTGAGCACTTTTCTTTGCACTCCCCGCTCCATTTCCATTTTCACCGATGGGTCTAAGTCTGCAGATGGCGTAGGCTACTCTGTTGTTTTTCCTGACAGCACTTATGTTGCCTACCTCCGGAGACTAGTATCTTCACAACAGAACTTTATGCTATTCTTTATGCGCTTTGTCTCCTGCTGTCTCGTTGTCACTCTTCCTTTGTAGCTGTTGTTGACTCTCATAGTGCCCTCATGGCTCTCAGGTTCTTTAATCCGGTCCATCCAGAGGTCGTCGAGATTCAGCATTGGCTGTTTCTTATTTCCAGTAAATTTAAGTCAGTTGAGTTTTGCTGGGTTCCCAGCCATATTGGTGTCTCTTAAATGAGCGTGCGGATCCTGCCACTAGGGAAGCTGTCCATTCTTGTCCCATCTCCCGTAAAGGTATTCCTTATTCCGACTTTTACCCAGTTATTCATTCCTCCGTCCTTACCCATTGGCAGGATTGTTGGTCTTCTGTTACTGGTAACAAATTGCGTACTCTTAAGAGCAGTGTGTCCTCATGGCCGTCCTCCTACCACCGTCACCGGTGATGGGAAACGGCTCTGGCGAAGTTGCGTATTGGCCATACACGCTTAACTCACGGTCGCTTAATTGAGCGCCAGCTGCTCCTTATTGTCCAAATTGCATTGTGTCTCTTACGGTCGTGCATGTCCTTGTTGAATGTCCTGACTTCCAGGACGAGCGTGTGTCTTGCTTTCCGACTGTCCCTCATGGTCTCTTGTTCCTCCATAGAATTCTTGGTGAATCGGATACTTTTGATATCATTCGCCTTATGCACTTCTGTTCTCGTATTGGCATCCTTAGGGATATTTAGCGCCCTCTGATTATTTCGCACATTTGATGGTGCTACATAGCCTTCTCGGTTTAATGCCTTCTTTTGATACTTACCAGGAGCCACCTTGTTTTATCAAAATACATTAAAAACAAAGATAAGACAATATCAATTTCATTACATAAGGTTAAATATTCTAACATATATAATATATATTTTGTCAGTTAATTCTGGTTGTGAGTATGACTCAAAGAAGGCCGAATACTGTTATGAAGGACTACACTAAAAAATATCTGCCTATTTTTCCAAATGTAATAACAAATTTATAATCATGCTCCCATCTAAATGGTTCCAATAATCCACATGCAAACTTTTCAATATCCCATTCCACCTCTAAACCTCAGTTTTGCAACAAATTACCTTCAAGATGTAGTGTACAGGTTGCTACCTGAGAGAATAAGTATACTGTATGTTTGTATCACAACTGCCAATAGCTGTAGATTTTAACTCACTAACTCTGATAAATTTAACTCGCAAAATTTAAATATTGCACTTTTAAAGCAAATCATTAAAACATCAGCTAATCATATCTGTTTGATAAATTATGCAATAACAATAATAGGAACACATTTTTCGTACCTGTATCAAAGCATTGTGAACAAAGATTCAGCCTTCATGAGCCCTGAAACAGTGGTATATAGTATTACAATTAAATCACATGATAATTAGTCAATTAAATTGTGTTATGTACATCCAAATCAATGTGTTTTTAGCTATCTTCTAAATTTTTGACATTAGGTTTTCCCAAAGAATGAGGCACATGTACCAAATGCTCAACATAGATAATCGTCACACATTTTGGCATTGAATATACTGAAGTAATGTTAGAAAAATGCTATAGATTCTAACATGTTGATCTAATTAGTTCACAAATGAAGTAATTTCCTCATTTATTCAGTGATAAATGAGAATGTGGAAAGGATGAAGCTTACCACATAAAAAAATAATGGATAGGCAATTGAAAAAAACCACGAGTTCAGCGTAATGAAATGCCTCTCTGGTGGACCCACAGTAGCTCTCCATAGCTTGCATTCTAGTGAAGTCAAATCTTGAGAGGTGCATCAGGCCTTAGACACATAACGAGACTACCAGGACCCAAATCTGGCTTTCTCGACTAGGTGAGGGAAGCTTGGTGATCAGTGACCCGCAACCAAGAAAAACCCACCAGAAAGATGGGCAAAACAAAACAACTACTGCCTAATAAAAGAAAGTAATTCCGAGGCAAACAAGGCAAAAACAATCATTGCTGTGGGCAAAGAACACTAACCTTGATGTGTCTCTGACTGCCAGCAGAAGGCACCTCAGGTCGCCTGGGGTCCCAGCTAGCCACCCACTTCACACACAAGCTGCCAGTACAGTACTGAATTCCAAACTCCCCGCAGCAAGAAAAAAATTGGAATGGGAATGTGGAGCTACTGAGGGTTTCCAAGGAAATCATTACATTCAGCTCATGATTTCTAAGTCTCCCCTCATCAGCTTCCCATACCTTACTCTCAATGGTGCATCAGTAGAAGAAAACAGCTTTTCTGAAAGGGTAACAATATAAAAGTAACACTAGAAAATTGTTATAGTAAGTAACAAAGGAAAAGGCTGAGACCGCTTATCCGTGTAAAATGACGGACGGAGAGAAAGACAGAGTAGAGGAAAATCGGCTGCATACCAAATGACCTCTCAGCACTGTATAGGTGTTGGGAGACTGCGAAACATCCACTAAGAGGCGAGATGATCAAATTTAAAAAACAAATAAGACCGTAGACAACTCGACAACAAGGTGTTACCTGGGAATAAAGAATGGGAATACCCCACACGCAGGTGACGTAACTACAGGTACTGACTGTACCTTTCTAAAAGGCAAAATGAATGCCTATTTCCCAAAATGCAGCCCCTAGGAACCATCAATGTTCTGGTAACCTCAAGAGGAGCTTATCCACTCAAAAGTATACCAAACCCAAGCTAGACGAATCAGTTGGTTATAGTTAACAAACACTGAACTGGGAAAGATTGTTTGAATCGGGGAACTCTGTTTTAGTGTCAGTGCTGCTACCTGGTGGTGATGTTGCGCTCTACAGGCTGTGCGGGATAACTGGCAACATATTTTTTTATATATACTGTATATATTTACAGGTAAGTACAAATGTTGGTGATTATAGTGTACATTCTTACAAAGCCACTAACATGCATATCAAGAGCACAATCTGGAAGCACTTGTGATGCTAAAGAGCATTTGGAAAGGCTTTGTGAATATTTTATTGGCCCTTATGTTCATTACAGGCTGGATGAATCCTCTCCATAATCTCTCTAGCATTAAGAACTTAAGATCATTTGAATATATTAAACTTGAAAAGACATTTTGGCACATGCAAGTAGCTCCTATCTATACCATAACAAACTCGGTCATATACAGTACGTATATCTGTCTTAAACTGTGGCACTGGAACCATCTCTGATTGTCCTATGACACTCCCATACCCCCTACCCCCATGTGTCATCTTGGAAAATTGGGTGATGCTATCCCCACATGTCTGGCCTCCAACTTCAGACAGATAGAAGTTCTCTTTTACATAGTAATGTAAATTAAAAAAATTGATCTCTATGTAAGAGAGATTTATAACCTCTGGGATTAACTCGTCTTTTTCTGTGCATATTCAAGGGAATCTCTGCTCATTATATATCTAAATGAGACCTGATAAGAGCAAAATAAAGCTGAAGAATAACATTAGATGTCTTACTGCTAACATTTCTAGATATTAATCCCAATATCCTATTTCCTTTATTTCAAACACGTGTACTGCACATAAATTTATTGGCTTAAAACTTGTTTACACACAGATTTAGTCATTTCAACATTGTCCAGACAACTGGACAATGTTGAAATTAGTTTGTTTCTATATTATTATTAACTTGGCTGAGCCATACATTTGTAGGCATTAAACTGTGTCTGCAAATCTTTCATCAATTTTAAAAGACTATTTTAAGTCTTCCAGTAATGTCGAGTAAGGAATTTATAATCTGCCTTATTTTATATTATCTACAAATTTGAAAATGTGGCTGTTCAATTCTGTATCCAAACTATTTATACAGTACATAATAGTAAATAACAGAGGTCCCAGGACTGAGTCCTGGGGTTCTCCACTTGAAATTGTTACTTAATTGGACTTTGCTCCATTTATGGCAACCCTGTTTCTTTTGAAATAATAGGTACCTGGGAGTTAGGCAACTGTTGTAGATTGCATCCTGGGAAACGTCAATGGTTGGCCTAGGGAGACCTTGATAACAGGCTTCCTATCTCAACACTGGGAACCCTGCAAGTCTCGTCAATGCATTTTTCATATACATTTCAAACCAATTAATTATGCGTTCAGATAGTGATTCTGAAAATAATGCAACAGATTGTGAAATAAATGACACAAAATGTTAGTTTTGTCTTTGTTTTCCTACAAAGCTTTCACCACACAATGTTTTGTGTGGTGATCAAAGATGCTCCAAAGTTTCAGGACCTTTAAAAGCACAATATAGCCACCAGCAAGACATCTGATTACTTTACTTTTCCAAGGGCTTTACAATAAAATCTATCATTATTACGGATTAATTCATTCTTTGATTTTATTGAACATGACTTCCTCACTTTAGAAGGCACAGCAAACAAGTTAATAGACGATGACCAAACCACATGTCAGAAGATGGAGAAACTACAACATTTCTCACATATTTTGATGTCGTATATTCACATATGACTTGATAATGGTCCAGGATAGACCGAAACATCGTCGTCGTCTCCATCTTCTGATGTGTGGTTTGTTCATCGTTTCTTCAGCCACGTTATTGTGACTCATCGTCTGCATAGGTAATGGATCATTTACATAGGAGGAACTGAAAACAGGGTTTCCCCTACCTTACTCAAGTATATCTTGTAGGACAATTGTATTCAAATCGTTTATTCAAAACTTTTATTCTGCAAATTTTATTTCAGTGAACATAAAAATACAGTATAACAATGTGGAACAGGAATAGTATTATAATTGAGGAGCCCAAAGTACTGCATAATTTTTTTTTAAGCCTCATTTAGTGAGCTTTAAAGCCCACAAGACAAAATATTTTAGGAATATTTCCAGAATCAACATTTCTCATAAAACATAAGCCATATCCATCACTAAAATGATAGCGTTTAAAAAAAAAAATAGAGTACTGTACATTTTTAGGTCATAAAATACAAGCAATCACAATATGACATCAAGATATTTACAAAAAAAAATATAAAATAAAAATTATGAGGTAAACACTAATTAAACATTAGCATCCAACGGTAAACACACTGATGATGCTAAAAAGCATCATCCACTTTCAATATTTTCAGTGTTCACAGTTGATTTCCTTAGCAATTCTACTTGCATCAACCCTGTTGAGATTTTGCAGGCAATATGTGGGCAAGAGCCTTCAGCCACCATCTTAGACATAACTAAATCAACCACAAAGCTTCCCGCTCACCAATGAGGCCTTCCCATGTGACAATACCAGACTGATGGATTTTGCTCCTGTGATTCAATGTCTTTTTGCATCTTTGCCGTAAAATTTTATGCTGAAAATATTGAGTGCAGATAGTGATAATGGAGCACAAAAGGTTAATATATAAGGGGGAAAACTACCAAGGAAATTAAAATTACCAAGAAAGTCAAATACATTGAAGATGGATACAGGAATATACTTACATGTTCTACAGCATCCACTGGTAAGAAAAATACCCACAATTTGTCATAATTTAGCTTGTACTGTACTAACAATAATTACATGACCATCATTCTATAAACAGAAAGCAGAAATGTGCCAGGAAGAGGTACGTTTTAGGTGCATGGTACATATATTAAACATGAGGGAACTCAAAGTACATTTTTTCTACTATCCGACAGAAGACACATTGGGTAACATCCAGACCAAATATTAACTTTGTAGCATTAAAAATAAAGTTAATCATCAAATTTATTGTGAACATTTACAGTCGGCGGGACCCTTAAGTGATGGTATGCGGTCTCTCTGTGTATTATTACCATTAAAATTCAGCTGACTTTTCTTGCATTTGTTCTTTTTCCATATGAAAGAATAGTTATTTGAGAATACATATATGCAAACAAAAAATTATAACTTAACAAATCTCTGCCAAGAAAAAAATATATAATATTTTTCCAAACGGTCATAGGAGCAGTCTGTAAATTCATACATAAAATTTGGAGTTTGTAAATTATGGAATAGATATAATAAAAGTTATGATTCTTTTCTTTTCTCAGCTGTATAGACCAATAACATGTACACATTTCCACATTTTAATTTTTTATTTAGGTTGAATAATAACTGAACATTGAAATGTTCATAAACATTTGTATATTCAATGCTGTCGCACATAATCTGTTATAAATACATACATCTCATTTTGCATCTACTGTATACACTTGAGAATTTATTTGCGAACATTTTGACACCACATTTATAAGTTTTAACCAAACAAATAATTTGGGAAATGTAAAATTGTTCTAAACATTTTACACTTGGCTGAGCAGGGTCCCTAAAGTGGCCGGAATGTTTACGGTCCGGAATGCCACAGTGTTATTAAGCCCCATAAACTGTCAAAGCAGGGTTGGTAAATTTAAATAATTTGGTTGTATACAGGGTACTCTATGATCCCAAGAGGTACTTACAAAATTTATGCAGCTATTGTACAGTGTTTTCTATTTGATATTTTTTCTCAAGACTTGTAAAGTATTTTGAAGATATTAAAACAAAGAATCCACAAAAATTTGAATATATTGTAATTAAAAATACAGTACAATATAATTAAAACTAAAAAAAGTCTCCCCAGTGCAATTCAGTTCATATTCACTGAAAAACTAATGCATTTGATGTAAGGATTTTTTCAATTTTGGCCAGTTCCTTGGTAGCTTTCCTGAATTTATACATTGATACTCTGCACTGCAGAGAATCCAGATTATGCCATGTCAATAAGATTTGGGTCCCTGAACTGACTAACCAGCAACTACAACCAGAATCTGGTTCCCTCAAAGAGAAAAGACGATCATGACAATCAGAACTCGACTGAAAAACGCAAAGAAAACTGTAACCAGATGGTATCCCAGGCCACACTGGGATCCTGCCTCACTCATGAGAGACCTGTAAAGAACTCGAAATCCCACAGGAAAGAGCAAAACATTAGAGCAGAAATCTCAGGCATTCAGATGTTTCCTTACTTCTGGAGACTACCATAAAAAAGTGCTTAGGGAAGAAACCCTATCGGAATAAAGACAAATGCCAAGAGAGTAGTGTCATTAATGACAGAGCAAGTAGATGGAACATAACTTGCTGTGGACCACATGTGGACCATGTGGTCCACAACAATTAAGGCCACAGGCAACTTGCAAATTGTTTTGGGTCATCTCCGATCTCCATGTTTCCCCACCTCTATAAACACACCAAATTCTGCTCCTAGTGTTTAGTAGGTCTGCCCAAGCTCAGATGTGTCTCAATACCTGAGTCAATGGTCCATGAAGTTACTGAGGACTAACCCAAGAAGGATACCAATTTTTCCCCCTCCACACAAAAACGTGGTTGTCTGCTAGCCAGAAAGAAATGGGCTTCATACCACAACCAGGAAGTAGCAGAGGTTTTGAACCTGAATGAGTTTGAATTCCGTTCAGAAACAGCCTTAAAAAGCAGGAACCAAAGAAAGTCCTGCCAAGTCCAATGCGAAGGAAGAAATGACTGTAGAAACCAGAGGAAAGGGCCAAATCAAAGTCCAGAACTGGGATTAGGAACCTCACCTGTAAGGAGTAAAGTTCAATATGAGACGGACAACAGAAGAAGTTCTTTACCTGAGTAAACATTCAGACAGGAATAAAGACTATCAAAAACAGTCAAAAGGCAGCCAAGAACCCTCCACAGCAAATCCATAATCCCTGGTACCATTTCCTATCACAGAGGATGAAGGACTAGTGTCAGAAACCACATCCCCTTCCACCTACGCAGCTGCTACCAAATCTACCAAGGGAATCTAAAAGCAGAATGAACCATCGGTGTCCAAAAACACAACAACACATCCTGGAAAGCTGAAGGCAGCAATGTTCAGATCTAAACTTGGTGAGGGATTCAACACAACCCAACCAACAGAGAAAATGAGGTAAGGAAACCTCTTGGATGCAGGTTAAATGGCTGCCTTGTCATCAATGCAAAAGGAAAGCTTTGTCAGGTAATTAAACACCTATCACTAACAATTAGACAGCATGGAATAGCATATAAAGTCACTAACTAGAAAGAATCATTTAATGCAAAGCAAGTGTAAACTTGGCTAACGAGCAAGTCACCCAAACACACACACGACCCATAGCCAGGCACAACACACACAAGCACACACAACTAAAAATGAACCCCATAACATTGATGGATCAGAACTCAAGATGACCTGGGCTGCAACCTGGAGGCAATGGTATCAGAGTTAGGGCATAGAATAATCACCCATTGTCAACCACCCTTTGTTTTGTTTTCTCATAAATTTATCTGTTAATTCAAGCAGTGATTTTTGCTTTTGCTTGGATTATCTGGACAATTTTACTTAGTTTAAGTCAATCTTTGAGCCCCATTACCTCTTTGACCCAGATTCTGGTCCTGGTTACCAGTAAGCCAGTGTAAGTCTCAGGGCCTGGCACAATGTCAGAGCTCTGTAGCCCAAAAAGCATAGCTTACGGAAGATACTGAAGGGGGTCAGCCCAGAAAGGCATATAACTACAAAGGCCTCAATGTTGGGTGGTTCGAACTTACTGGCCCTTAGATGTTCAGTCTAGTCCCCTTTTCCCATGAGTCTCATGGTTATGAAGTGATAAAGTGTGAAAGCTGTAGCTCCCTGGCCTCTTCAATGATTTTAATCCAGTATAAGAACAGCTACCCTACACCTTTCTTATGCATGGCACAATTTCTTGTTTGCCTAGATGTCACTGAAATTTACTCTTGCACTCTGGTTTTCTCCAATGTTTTCCTTCTGCCAAAAAGTGGCCTCTCTGAAACTGGCCTACATCTTGCTCACTCTGATTCGTTGGTGGTTGTAATAGGGCTGATTACCTGGCCTTCTCTGGGATTTTATTCCAGCCAGAAAGTAGTTCCATTCTATGCATGGCATAGCTGCTTGACTTCGCTGTCACTTGCAGGGGATTAGGATTCCCTGTTATATCCAAGGCTTTTGTCCTGTAGCGGAAGTAGCCTCTTGCTTGGTGAGCCATCGATAATGAGGGCCCTAGCTTCCTAGCCTTCTCTGGGTGTTCCATCTCTCCACCGAGTTCACAATAGTGGGAATCTGTCTCCATGACCTGCTCTTGGATTCATCTGGCCAGACAGTAGCCTGTGTTTGTAAACTGCTTTGTCCACCTTCTTTACTTGCTTCTTAAATACATTTACAGGATGAAATATAGAGGACTGTACCTAAATATGGTCTTCTCAGCTTGCTTCTTATGTCCATCTGTGGGATAATATAAAAAGAAGACGACGAGGTTATGGTTTTCGTTTCTAATTTAGTTATTGTTGTGATTATTTAAGCCTTTCTTTTCATTTATTGGATATCAGTCATTGTAAATATACAACAGAGGCTAAGTAAAAAAAAAAAATGATCATGTTGCTCATATAAATCCTTAAAATTGTTCGAAGTTTAATGTTAAAGCTGTATTACAAAATTCAGGTAAAGAAACAGAAGGGTGTTTTTTTGTATGCATGAATTCAGAAACAGCACATGATTGAGTTCATGAAGAATAACAAAGACAAACCAGGTAATAATTCTTGTGAATTTATACCTTTACAGTATTTACATATTACACTAAACAGGATTACTGTGATTACAGTCCATTGCAGCTATGGTGAAAATGTAATACAGGTGTTTTATATAGTGCATAATATTTTGTAAATTTGGCAAGTGTTATGTATTAATACATTCCACTTGTAGGGTATTGCACTTTTCTTTATTGAATACCATTTACCAATCATATGATTATGGTGAAATTTGTGTAAATCATTTTAATTTAATGTAATGACTCTCTTTATTTTTTCCACATTAGATTCTTTGTCTACAAACAAACTGTCTACTGTCTACAAACTTCATGATGTGGTTTGTAATGTAATCAATGTTATTAAAGTATTGTACTGTAAATAATGGAACAGGTTTTCCCACAATATAGCCTTAACTTAACGGGCCAAAATCAAGTTTACTCTTTTTAACATAATTTTCAGAAATATATTTCTTTGATATTTAGCTTTAAAGCATAAAAGCTGAATATCAGGTGCAGCAAGGCTGTGGAACTTTGAGTAGCATGGAGCCAACACCCTATAGGATCACTACAAGCCCAAATCCCAGGTAAGAGCCATGGGGAAAAAAGGTGCCAAGCAAGCAATGCCAAAGCAGCATTCTGCCTCACCGTGTACAGGCAGAATGACAGCTGGAAGATAGAAGAGAACCGACTAGCAGAAAAATGACAGCTAGTCAAGGACCAACAGACAGCCAATAAAGAGATACTGCCTACAAAACTCGGAAAAAAGAGGTGGCCAGAAAGGAGCATGCCACACCTGGAAGAGCAGAATCCTGACCCACTTGGCATGGTACACCCTCCCCCTAAAGCCAACAAAGGTCAGAAAAATGAGCTACCAAAAACCCAGTAACTCGCACCTCAAAAAGAACTGTGCACTGGGACAGGAAACCAGCATGGGACTAAGGCACAGAACCAGAGGTCTTGTGCTCACAGCCAAAAGGAACAGAACACTTTCCCAACATCAGGACCACTGTCTGAAAACTAGGTACCCCACCAGGAAGGCAAAAAGAGTTGGAGCACTCATAACATGGACCATGCAGCACAAATGACCAGGAGCAAGCAACCTCAATGGCCTGTTGTCAGGAAAGGCTGAGAACAAAACCCACAAAGATGAGGACAAAGAGCCCTGAGAAGTAGGGTAAAATACTTTAAAATACACAGCACGCACAGTAGGGTCAAGACAGTCCAAAGGTCAAGCTTCCCTCACCTTGGGGGAGGTTTCCTCGAGATGGTTTCGGGGCTTAGCGTCCCCGCGGCCCGGTCCTCAACCAGGCCAAGGGAAGAGCCCAATTTGTGGTTGTGGCTCCCGGTAGATCAACGATGGTCTCAGAGGCCTAATACACTTCACAACTCTCAAGACTTGACTTCACCAGAATGCAAGCTACGAGGAACTACTGAGGGGGGTCTTCCCCAAAACATAAGACCAAAATAAAAAAAGGTTTAAAGACATGCTATTAATGGTTTATAGATCTTTATAGATCTTAATCTTAAAGAGTTATGAGGAAAAGTTTGTGGCACCAGAAATGCCAATGCTTAACCCTTAACATGCTCGGGGTCTAATATCCTGCTATCCACACAGGCGCATGTCATTTTGAAAAAAAAAAAAATTTTTTTGTTTTGCTAATCTGTTAAGTTCTGTTCACTGATCACGGGAAAAATAAAAAAAAAATTCTATTGTACTTACTTTTGTTGCAATAGAGCCGAGAAGCTCTGCGATGACGTCACAATCTGCATGGTCGCTCATGCAGTACACGCCCGGGAGATGTTGCGCGCGGTCCTCAAACAGCCAGAGTTGCCACAAATATATTTTCGCGCTATTTATTTACAATGTCTAAGCGCATTTTATCTAATTTTTTTTCACTAATTGTGTTTCACATACTGTTTGAACATATTTTGTATCAATAATTGTTGCATATTTGAGTATACACAGGCGCACACAAATGTTTTCAATTACGGCAATATAATATGTCATTACAGTCTATTATATTATATGTTCTGCTTATATGTTTACATATTTACACACTGGCACACGCTATACACACTTTGAAGCACACTTAGAAGATTTCTAGACTGTGGTAGTCATTGAAGCAGTCGACAGCACATAATGGGATACCACACGTTTCACACCATGTTTGCACAAGCTTCCGTTTCTTGTCTCTACGTGTCGTTGTTTTACACACCAAGCAATCACGTTGGGCTATTGCACGCTTCACACCAGGTGGCAAATACTTAAGTTTGTGTGCTAGGAAGCCTTCAGTGTGAGCGAGGCGTGGAGTACCAGCATGCTGCAACAGTGGGTTTATGATGGGCCGCTGAATACCTGGGACATCTTTTGCAAACTTTCCTAATAACTGTATTGCAGCATCAAATACAAAGTCACGGAAAGTGGGCTTACGTCCAGTTCTCACAAGGTACATGTTGAAACAGTTCAGCATGCTCATGTCCACAAGATGGAAGAACACTTTTTTCGTCCACCTACATGTCTTCCGCACACACTCTGCAGTGCCAATCATCATGTCTGATTTATCAATCAACCGCATGTTGATATTATAGTCTAAAACACAGTCTGGCTTATATAGTGGTGCGTTTGTTTTATGGCTCACTTTCCCACTGTTCACCATTGTTCCATCATGAATTGTTGTCAACAAGTTCACCTCTCTTTTGTCTTTCCACCGAACTGACAGAATGTTATCACTTTTCCTTCTCTGACACTCACCAACTGCAATGTCGTTGTCAAACACAGGCATTTCCCTTCGTTGTGGCTTTACTGTACCAACCAATCCGGTTCTATTTTCTAGCAAGAACCGAGCTAGCAAGGGACTTGTATAGTAATTATCTGTGTATAAAATGTGTCCGTTGTTCATCCACGGAGCCATGATGGTCTTCACTACACTCCCCGAGAATCCATGTTCGTCGTTACCGGGAATGTCTACATCACTAGCCGAGTACAGAATCATGTGTAACACGTATCCTGTCTCACAATCACAAAGAACAAAAAATTTCAGGCCAAATCGGTTTCGTTTTGAGGGAATGTACTGTTTGAATGGAACACGTCCCTTGAAAAGTATGAGAGATTCATCAACCACCAGCTTCTGTGCTGGTACGTAAAAATCTCTGAATTTTCCAATAACATCGTTCATGTAGTGCCTCACTCGCCACAGTCTATCATCAGGTGTTCGGTCCTGAACACTTCCAAAATGTAGACACCTGAGGAGTATCTGAAACCTGTCTCGTGACATATATTTCCCGAATAAAGGTGTTGGTATTGTCTTGTCCTTGCTCCAATAGTCATTTATTGCATGTTTGTGACAGTGCTTCATCAACAAACAGAGTGCCAAAAACACATACATTTCCGCCACTGTGGTATTTTTCCAACGCTGCAGTCGTGAAAATTCTGTGATTTCCCTCTCAATCAGGTAAGCAGCATGCAGGTTCGTTTGGTGTACAATGTATTCCATGAGTGGTTCATCATAGAATGCTGTAAAATATTCCATCTCAGCCATGTCCTCACCTTGATTAGGGAAAAGGTTTGTAATCCCTACATCTTTATCGTCAAACTGAGGAATATTAGGAATAAAATCGTCACCATCACTCCACTCAAGTATACCAGGCGTCCTGCGAGATGCAGAGGAAGGACGGCGAGGAAGCGATGCATACCGGCGACCAGGAGCTGAATACCGTCTGCGAGAAGCACGGCGGCTACGTGCACGTGAGGTGGGTGCACGTGAGGTGGGTGCACGTGAGGTGGATGCACGTGAGGTGGATGCACGTGAGGTGGATGCACGTGAGGTGGATGCACGTGAGGTGGATGCACGTGAGGTGGATGCACGTGAACACGAGGGTCTTGGTCCCTCATGTGGTGCCATGCGGTGGCGCTTGGCTGGGCGAGATGCTGCTGACGCGACAATTTCTCGCCCAGTTACACCACTGGTACCAGCCACAGGCTCAATAAAACTTTGATCTGAGTCACTAAACCCAGAAAAGGAGTCACCTCCCTCTGACTCGTCACCCTCAAACAGAAAATATCCACAGGAACTGTGAGGTCGTGGTAGAATTGGGGTAGAAAATGGGCGAGGAGGCATGGGAGAGCGTATAGGCCTCGCCATGGCATGGCGGTCATTTTCACTTTCACTGCTGCTGCTACTATCTCCCGACAACTGTGTATAATCCTCATCGTTGTCTGAATCGTCAAACACACTTTCTTCACCTTCAGAGAATAATTCGTGGGCTATTTGCTCTGGGGTGAGGGACTGAGTGATGCGTGCTCGTGAGGCGTTTGACCGTGCGCTCGCCATGGTGACTCTCGCTAAACTGAGGCCTCCCATGCCATCGGAGCGTGAGCTGGATTTTTTTTCAAAATGGCCGCTGTTTACTAGAGCCCCTGGGCAGCGTATGGGACCCCCAGCTACACCGCGGGCCATTCAAATCGTGCGCGGTACCCATACACTTCATATGAAGTGAAGCGCAGTTGACTGGTAAAACGATTTACACTTCATATGAAGTGATGCGCACTTTAAGGGTTAAAGATTGAAGGAAAGATGGTGACATGATCACCAAGTAAAAGATCTTGATGGGTATGGAATCAATTGACAAGGAGGGTTTTTTGAGACCTATAACCTCTCTCTAGAACATGGGGCCTGCATCCACGTATGAGAGAAACAGATATATATATATATATATATATATATATATATATATATATATATATATATATATATATATATATATATATATATATATAAATATATATATACACAGTATACTGTATAGTCCTTTATTTCAAGTTATTACATAAAACAATACAATATGTTTTCAGTCTTCATGACTTACCTATCAAACATGGCCTTAAGAATGTTATATGAACCTTGGTAGCGTTGGTCATTAGATTTAGCAGCATTTCTCCAAAGGTTACGAATTTGCCGCCATCTCTTGAGGTGTTCAGTCAACAGCAGACCTGTTGGTGTATTCTCACACTCCTGTTGGAAATGTAGTATTCTAACTATTGTAAATGTTGGGTGTATCTCTATTTATCCAAGAATACATTTAGTAATTTATAACAAAAATAAGGTACCAAGTTGAGTGTAACCACAAGAGATTTACTTGTGCTAAAAATTTACTGAAAGTACGGTTCGTTCCCAGCTCACAATTGGGAAATCGGGTTGAAATTCCGGGTTGAAATCCCAGGTGGGACAAATGGTTGGGTGCCTTTCCTATCACGTAATGCCTTGTTCACCTAGCAGTAAATAGGTACCCAGGAGTTAGTCAGGTTGTTGTGGGGTTGCATCCTGGGGAGGATCAGTAATTTAACCTTGGGGAGGGGGCCCTCAGCATAACCTTAATATATATACACTACACTGGGTGCCCGTCCCCTGACACAAGGAATTATAATCTTACTAACAAGATATTATATTAAGTCCACCACTAAATGGTCTTGGAAAGAAATAATCTCGTTTCTTTTTAATATACGAATATTAGGCGAGTTTTCCCATTAGGAAAAATTAGAGAATTAGGCGAAAATTCAATTATTTAAAAAAAATATTGAAGGCTGCCAATTTAAAATCCTTAATACATGTACTGTATCTTTCAAGCAGCACAAACATATTCAAGAATTGAATCGTTTACCCATTTCTTAGTATGACAGCATAGTGGTCATAATCTTGACCAACAACTGTTGCTGCACCTTTAGCATGCAATGTAATGACCTTATATTTATAGATTATAATCTTCTGCCCTAAAAAAAATTAATATTGATGCATTAAAACTATTAGAACTATTTTAACTTATAATCATAAATTTTTTTAAGCAATACAAACTCCTTTACTGAGGAACAAGGTGACAATTAACTGTGCCAGTTAAACTTTAATATTGTAGACTTTGACACAAAGTTATAATTACTATTTAAATCAAATGCCAATTACAGTACAGTATGTCTAAATGCTTGGGCATACAATTTATAACTAAACTGCTTTTTCCTGAACATTACGCTGCAGATCTAAAAGATATTATTGCATACACTATATGTTTCCCATCTAAAAAGAAAAAAGTCCTACATTTAACACTTCTTAAAACAAATTGGCCTTACATTGATTTCATTGAGTTTATTGGGAGGATGTGGAATCGGTTCAGGAATCCTTGGATCTCTCTGCAGCATATCAGTTGCCCAGGGTTCTGGGGGAGGCATCTTGTTGCCGAGAGCAGTATTGGGAGGACCATCAGACAAGATTTCTGTGGCAAAGTCTCCATCATGGCTACCCTCAGTACTGTTAAACATTTCTGTGCTGGGGCTGCTTGGTTCTTGTCTGGGTTGAAAAGTAATTACTATGAAATGCTTATTTACACTTCATAATATTGCACTAAATCTGTATTGTAATTATTCTGTAAAGTTATATACAAATAATTTCACTAACTTAATACATTCAAATTCTTACTATAACAGCACATATCACATATACAGCATAAGTATTTTTAATTGTGGATGAAAGTTTAGGCCCCAGGACAAGCACTGAAATGGTAAGATCATTCAGTGTCACAGAGTGAAGTACTGTAATAGGAAACGAGGCAGATTGGACGATGTAAAAGTTAGTGTTTAACATGTTTGCAGATGACTACTCGCGAGCAGCAGTGTACATCTAGCCTTATGAAGCCGTGGGGTGTTGCTATACATGATTTGCAGTATGGTGGTGCTGGTTCTCTATAATACCTTTTACAGAGGGAGATACAGTATGGTGAAAGAATGGCATTATTTTTAATACCATTGACCGTCTTTCCTATACTGCTCTCATATCTTTAGGCAAATACCTCCACACTCCATAGAAGTGGAAAAATGGGATAATGATGATAATGACATGTTTAATGGTAGACAATGACCTTTCCATTGTCTACTCACTTACTTTACATTAAGACTGGAGTTATGTGGCTGGTTAATCATCCAGGCACGGCAAATAGGATACAGAGGAGATGTTTCATCAAACTGGGCCAAGTCAACACTGCGATCAAACATGCGCATGACAAAAGTGTGGTGGAAACCAGAATCTCTCAAATCTATCTCCTTCCGTCGCCGCTTTCTTGGAGGACGAGAGCTTCGAGCATTTGTTAAACCAATCTTTGTACTGAAAAAAAAGAGGTTCAAAAAGGCAATAAATATCAAGTTAATACTGTGCTGTATTGAAAATGGGTCCCACACAATGGGCCCCTTGTGATTGGCAGTACATATACTATGAATGAAACGTAATCCAGTTACAATTGCTTATGACTGCTCCATATTAGGTATCCACAGCAAAATGTTATTCTCAGTTTAATTTATATTAATTTAATACTGTATACAGTATTCCCTAGTTCAGTAGGAAATGATTATTGAACTTGAATTTGTATTGCAGGCATCTATAACTATCCTAAGTAAACATTCCTCTAAAAATTCAGCATACAAATGGTTTACTAAAATACATAAATTAGAAAAAAAAATTATCTTGCATTTCTCGCTTTATCTAACACTCTTTCTTTCAAATTACAATAATCATATACCCATTGCAATCATTTATCTTCATCCTCAGCTTTCTTCTTCTAAATCCCTCTGTATTATGATCCTAACCCAAATATCCTGAAGTTGTCCACACTTTAAGCAATAAAGCACACAATGAAATTGATACTTATTACATACAGTACATTTAAGTCGCAAGCACATTGAAAAACTCACAATACTTTAGTTTTATTATCATTATCCGACTCATTTTCTGAATCAGACTCTTCGTCCTTCTGAAGTAAACCCTGAAGAGCTGCATCAAATCGCCCACGAGCTGCATCTACGTCAACACCTGTAGGTATGTATAACAAACCTTATCATTAAAACTAAAAAAAAGAGTGAACTGTAGTTCATTAATTTCATGGCAAATACTGTAGTACATTTGCTGTACCATTAATTTCATGGTACAGCAAAAATTATCTGAGTGGAATAATATGTCATGATCTGTAGATTTTTATATACAGTAGTAATAAAAACTATGTAGGTCATAGTATGACATTACACATATCCCATACTGTACTGAGTAGGAGCTACAGTAAAAAAAAAATAAATAAAAGCCGATCAAACCCTAGGAATAGTCAAACGAACCTCTGACTTCAAGAAAGTGGTTATTTAACTGAACAAATCTGTGGTGAGCTCCGTTTAGACTACTGCGTCCAAACATGGCAACCACATCTTCAATAGAACATAACTGCTTTAACAAAAAAAAAAAAAAAAGTACAACACAAGAGCAACAAAATTCATCCCAGTATTAAGTTGACTCATACCAGGAAAGGTTGAGGTCCACAGGACTAATAACAATGCAAGCCAGACATGACAGGTTGAATCTCCTCATAATTTTGTAAATACTTTACAAATTGGAGGTCATTAATCCAGACCACTTCTTTTAAAAAAAAAAGGTCACATGTAACACATACAAGGGGCAACACCTCTAAGCTTGTGCTACAATGTAGGACAGAAAACAAAAGATGTTCTTTCACTCGACTATGTTCCACCTACATAACTCTGTAGAAACTCAAGAGGTAGAAACCACCTACCCACCAAAGCCATGAATGCCAAAAATTGCTGCAGTTGAAAATCTCGTTGGAAAAACAATTCTCAGGAAAAATGAGGGGGACCTTTGACAAGCCATCAGCTTCCTGTCACCATGAAAGTTGAGTAAACATTGTGCTTCAATAATTAAAATACAATAACTAATATTATAAAGCCTGTATTAATAATGTGCACCAGACTGGGTTAAGGGAGTAGAAGAACTCCCGAAACCCTTTCCAGGTATGTTCCAGGTAATATAACAATTCCCAGCTACAATATAATTTCCTAAAAGATCTAAACTTACTTGGCTCTTCCCTCTCCAACTTAATTCGGATGCCGGAAGATGTCATATTTGTTGTGTGTGTTCTTCTCCTGCTGCTATAAGGAATACATGAGACAGGAAACACAACTTTCTTTCCTCACAACTTAAAACAAGTCAGCCAAAGGCTGTTTCATTCACAACTTGAAACAAGTCAGCCAAGGGCTGCTTCTTTCACAACTTGAAACCAAAACTTCTTCCAAAACATGTGTTCGAATGACACGCACATTATATATTATTTCCAGTGGCCTTTGTCCCGATATTTAGAATGTAATAAAATATATAGTAGTTTTATTTAATAAATTATAGCATAGCAAATGTATACAAACACCTTTAAAAGAATTTAATTGCAAAATGTATGCGAATATCTCCCGACACAATGCAGGAGCTCGAACGCAGTGTAATAACACAGCATCTGGTTTATACCATAAATTATGATATTGCTAACGATAGTTATTATAAATCATTATTTAATCGGTTATTGTGTAAAATAGATATTTTAACCGTAAATGGTATTTTAAAAGTCAAATTACACGGTGAAAAGGATGATACATCCAGCAAATGGTACGAGACGAGGCGGGAAAGTCTACTACCGCCTCCGGGCAAGGATTACTTCCAGGGATTAATCCTTGCCAGGATTACTTCCAGGGATTAATCCTCGCCAGAATTACTTTCTTGCGATGGATAAAGTCGTAGAGTGTCAGATTGAGAAGTATGCACGCCTGACGGCCCAGGCGAGAGAATGGGAGAGCGTGAGCAACTCTTCAGCTCGGCCTCTGGCCCTCGTCCTCACCAAGGTAAATAACAATATATAAGGGGGGCCTAAGAGCTGAGTGGATAACGCTCTGGACTCGTAATCCTAGGGGGTCCGGATTCGATCCCTGGTGATGGCAGAAACAAAATGGGCATAGTTTCTTTCACCCTGATGCCCCTTTTACCTAGCAGTAAACAAGTACCTCTTCCTGGGTATGTGTGTGTATACTCACCTAGTTGTGCTTGCGGGGGTTGAGCTCTGGCTCTTTGGTCCCGCCTCTCAACTGTCAATCAACTGGTGTACAGGTTCCTGAGCCTATTGGGCTCTATCATATCTACATTTGAAACTGTGTATGGAGTCAGCCTCCACCACATCACTGCCTAATGCATTCCATCCGCTAACTACTCTGACACTGAAAAAGTTCTTTCTAACGTCCCTGTGGCTCATGTGGGTACTCTATTTGTATATTTTGTATTTGGTATTATTTATTATTATTATTATTATTATTATTATTATTATTATTATTATAATTATAGGTAGTGGGTATTGTGTTTTTTTATCCTTGATAAATCATTGCACCACCACCCACCAGTAAGGGTCTCTAATCCTTCCCCCTCTTGAGATGATTTCGGGGTTTTTTACTCTGCCCATTGTTTCTCGTCGGCGCCTGGGATCGAACCCAGGATCACAAGTCCCGTGTGCTGTCCGCTCGGCCGACCGGCTCCCCCTGCAGGCATATAATGTACACAGGGTGCATTATATAGAAACACATCAAAAATCACTAGTTCACTACCACTGCAAATTCTTAGCTTAAAGAGCACTTAAGTCCAGTTCCTGAATCTACATATTTTTGCCGAGTTGAGGGGACAGGAAACATGTATTTAGGCTTATCGAAATCCCCTAGGGTCTAGGCCAACTTGACACTCTCCAGGATGCAACCCACAACAGTCGCCTTGCTCCTAGATGCCTATTAACTGTCAGGTGGACAGAGACATTAGGTGAAAAGAAGCGTTGCCCAAATCTTTCCTTCCTATTGCCGGGATTGAACCCGAGACCCTTAATTTTGGACTAATGGCGTGGACCACTACGGGACCTGTGCAAATTTAGGAGACCTAGCGCGTGTAGATGACCTTATACATGTACACGGCCTTGAATATGTAGATGGTCGTGTATATATAGATTGTCGTACTCAAGTACATGGTCGTGCTTAAGCAGATGGCCATCATGGCCTTGTTAAAGAAAATGGGCTTTCACGTGCTGATGGAAATGCACATGTAGAAGACCTTGCTGGAGTAGGCGAGGAAGTTGTTGCAGCAGGAGGGAGCTAAATAGTGCAGGTTGTCCGTGTTCCCCTCCAGAGCGGCGTGCTGAAGGTGGAAGCTGGGCGGGTGCTGCTGGAGTACTGGGACCTGCGGCTGGCCAAGGACGTGAGAACACACCGTCGGGCCCACAACCTTCTCTTCCTCTGCAATACTAAGGTCAGCCTCACACTCTCGCCTGTCTTTATCATTTCGTAAAAAAACAGTAATGTAAGTCAACTGCAGAGACCAAGACAGAATTGTATTTTTTCTGTAGCTATCGTTTTATCTCATTTTATCTTGTTAGTTATCCGTTTAGTTATCGCCCGTGAGTGCTAATTGACAGAAATGTGCATCATTTTGTATTCAACATCATAAATGATGCTTTCTGCACCCATTCCTTCCCCCCGTCCCATCCTAAATCCTTATCCAGACCGATTGATAAAGATTAAGCCACCCAAGAGGTGGCACGGGCATGAATAGCCCGTAAGTGGTGGCCCTTTTGAGCCATATCCAGTATCAAGAGCTGATACTGGAGATCTGTGGAGGTGCGACTGCACCCTGCGTGACGGGAGATGTCTCCCGTGTATCCGGACCGAGAGAAGATTAAGCCACCCAAAAGGTGGCTTGGGCATGAATAGCCCATAAGTGGTGGCTCTTTTGAGCCATTTCCAGTATCAATAGATGTTACTGGAGATCTGTGGAGGTGCGACTGCACCCTGCGTGACGGGAGATGTCTCCTGTGTATCCGGACCCCTTCCAAGTGCTACATATAGTCGTAATGGATTGGCGCTTTCCCCTGATAGTTCCATTCCCTTCCCTTCCCTATTCCATGTTTGGAGCCACTAAGACACCTGGAAAATAATTAAAGTTAAGGGCATCGAACTTGATCCTATTTCTACTTATGTAATTTAGTGTATCAACTAAGATACCAGACTACTAGATACAGTTACTTTTAGGAGGACACGTTAATAAATATTAAGTGTTCTTGCAGGGATCCGCGCGCAAGTGGCGGGTGATGTTCTCAGGCGAGCCTCCAGCTGCTGAGGAGAGGTGTGTCCGCTGCCTCAGGGCCATCCAAGCCTTCCTCAGCAGCCCCAACACCTCTCATCTCTACCCTCACACACTAACAGACACTACTTCACTTCCTCTAGTTCCTCACACTCTGGCTAACAGGTTAAGTTCTCATGCTCTCATCGACGCTGTTCCACGTCCTCATAGCCTCACAGACGCCCCTTTGTGTTCTCCGACTCCCCCACGTTCAGGAAGTCATCCAGCTTCTTCTGTTTCTACATTGGTAGGACAACCTTACTTTACCCACGATGTGCCCCCATTTGTAGAAGTCCAGGCACGTAACACGACTTCCTTGCGTCCAGAACTCCAGTCTCACACCTCTCCACATCCTTCACCTGCTGGAGTCAAAGTCCAACCTGCTGGGGTCCAGCCCAACACCCTTCCACATCCTACATCCGTTGGAGTCCAGTCAGACAACCAGGCGCCGATTTTGTCCCCCAAGTCTTCATTGCCCCTTGTCTACTCTTCAACTATGACAGGCTCAGTTGCTGGCCATCGTGATTCTCTCGTATCTTGCCATTCTATCGCCTCATCCTCCTCTTCCCCCACCCACACTCTATCACTGCCATCTTGTGCAAGTGTGGATGGAACGCTGGAGCCCAGTGATTTCCTTGCTGGAAGGAAGAAGGCAAGGTTGATCCCACACCCACCCACACCGATCAACTCGTGTGGTGACCCCGCCACTCAGAGTCGTGACCCCGACACTCAGAGTCGTGGCTCCAATTTTCGAGTTAATGACCCTAGTAACCATGGTCATAGCTCCGACACTCAAGGTCTTGATCCAAACACGCGAGATCATGATCCCGACATCCAAAATCGTGAGACCGACACCCAAGATCAAGACACCCAGGGCCGTGACCTCGACAGCAAAGTTCACGACACTGACACTCAAGATTGTGACCCTAACTCCCAAGGTAAGGTGCTGTTCCGTTGCCAGTTCCCAATGTTCGGGACACTATCATTTCCTTTGCACATAAAGTCAGCTGTTCTATTATTTTACACAAAAATACTCAGAATAACACTTTGAAAAGTTAACATAATGTCTATTTGTTTTCTTTTAAGTATTTATTTATTCAAAATAAATTAGAGGAAAAGTGTCAATTCAAAATCAAAACATAGATATAGGTCTTGTCTGTTTTCTAATGCATTTTAGATGAAGCCACTGAAGGCGGCAGTCACAGGTCAAAGAATCCATGGAGTGCAAGTACTTTTTATCTATCTACTGCTTGAGAATACTGTGTACTGATGACTGCCTTTACTTTCCAGCTTCGGAGGGATCTATCGTCATCATCGACTCAGAGATTACAAGTCATTCTCCCGTTCTACAAAGTACAGGTCAAGCTCCCGTTCTACAAAGTACAGGTCAAGCTCCCATTCTACAAAGTACAGGTCAAGCTCCCATTCTACAAAGTACAGATCAAGCTCCCATTCTACAAAGTACAGGTCAAGCTCCCATTCTACTAAGTACAGTTCAAGCTCCCGTTCTACTAAGTACAGGTCAAGCTCCCATTCTACAAAGTACAGGTCAAGCTCCCATTCTACAAAGTACAGGTCAAGCTCCCATTCTACTAAGTACAGGTCAAGCTCCCGTTCTACTAAGTACAGGTCAAGCTCCCATTCTACAAAGTACAGGTCAAGCTCCCATTCTACAAAGTACAGGTCAAGCTCCCATTCTACAAAGTACAGGTCAAGCTCCCGTTCTACAAAGTACAGGTCATAACCTCATCCCAGAGAATGCGGTCTACAGTCAAGTGTTATCAAGTGGAGGTCATGCCCCCAGCGTGGCGACCCTGGGGCCCTGGGCAAGCCTAGAACAGCTGGTGAGGGCAGTGCTGGAAGACCCTAGTCTCCCCGACGTGGTCGACGCCGTCCACAGGATAATAGGAAACATGTGAGCCACTACACGTCTTACAAGTGCTTATTAAGTTATTTGACTTCCCTGACACTATGTGGTGTCTCACAAACGTATTGGGAATGCCTCTGTTATTGACATTTAGACGGAAGTAGGATCGCATTTGTTTCACTCGGCAATGTGGACTAGACATAGTCTAAAATCAGCTATGTAAAGGCTTGTTACGAACGTGCT